GGCAGCAATTAGAAGCCAAGGGATTTAAAGCAATGGGACTTTCAAATATTGTGTGAAGAGAAGATGAAACGTCAGGATGAGCTATGTACAGCATTTGTACAAATTAAAAACACATGTATACAAAACAATAACACAAATTTTGCTGGAACACATACAAATAATAAGTGCACATTGAGCACTTATTGGGAGGAACAGAAACTATTGGGAGGGAGAAGGAGTGAAACAAAATAGAATTTGTTTTAATTTTTAGAAATAACTAAAAAAAAAACAGAATTAAAAATTGTAAAAAGAGGCTGGAAGGTTTTTCTGGGTTGCGGAGAGAATCTTAGCCCTGACCTGCAGGGATCTCAGTGGCTGTTGGGTTTGTGCTGTGATACTGTGGCATTTGTAACACTGTGTGTGTATTTAGTATAATATTTAGTTTATTTGGCCAGTCGATCACGGATCGCAACTGGTCCAACATCAGTTCCAGGGGCTCCAGTTACGCTTTTTCAGAGGCAGGCTTCCCGTCAACACGCTTCTTTCATTCATGCCTTGGTTCTGTCTTTCTCTCTGGCCAGTGTCTCAGCCTTTACCCTACTCAAGGTCTCTGCGAGCACGAGGCTCTGATTGGTCACATGAGACAGTACCCAGCGTGGTGCAGTCCTATCAGAGAGGGTTCTTGGATCAGGCCACTTCACAGGCAACTGCTCCAACCTATGGAAGGTCTTTGGCTCGGGCAAGGCTCCCTGGCCCAGATGGATTATAGGTCAGAGGTTTGAGGATTCTAAGATAAAGCATGACCCTTTTTTTTTTCTTTTCTTTTTGCATAAGGAACAACTTGATGATGCTTTTCTCAGAAGAGATGAGTGTTGTGAATCTTTCTGGCACTTCACAATGTCACTTACTCCCTGACTGTGGTGTGGAATGCGCCCCAGACCAAGGAGGCACATTGCTTGTGAAACTCTAAGAATCATAAGGGTTAAAATAGAGACCAACTAGACCAGTGATGGCGAACCTATGACACGCGTGTCAGAGGTGACACGCAAACTCATTTTTTTGGTTGATTTTTCTTTGTTAAATGGCATTTAAATATATAAAATAAATATCAAAAATATAAATCTTTGTTTTACTATGGTTGCAAATATAAAAAAAATTCTATATGTGACACAGCACCAGAGTTAAGTTAGGGTTTTTCAAAATGCTGACACGCCGAGCTCAAAAGGTTTGCCATCACTGAACTAGACTATATACTCAACATGGGCAGACTGGGGAGTGAGCAGCTATATAGCAGGAAGACAGCAGCGTTGGAGTCAGTTCATCTCTAGGGAAAATCCCAACATTGCCACTTCTAAATGTATGCTTTTGGCATGATGCATTCCTGCCTCCTCACAGGATTGTGTGGTATGCATTCCAGTGATCAGCATGGTGATTCGTACATAGTAAGTGCTCAATACACTTTAGTTCCATTTCTTCCCCTCATACCTGACACATACTGAAGGGTGTTCATGAAGCCTACACGTGTGAGTGAATAAAGGAGCCACACACATAGGCTGTTGTTTGCCTATAGCTTGCCCATACCTATTTAAACTAGATTATTTTTCTCCAGTCTTCTGCATTCAAAATAATTGCTTCCGAATGTATTTGAATGTATCAATTTCCTTTTTTCCCCTCTAAGAATTATAACTCATAGGTCAGAACTGGAGAGCGGAGAGTATGTGAGTCATTCAACCAAAGTAAGTGAGAGTTAGCAGCCAAAACTTCTGTAGCCCTTGTGCAGACCGATTGGCGGGCTTCGAGGTTATAGAAATGACCTTGATGAGTTTGCGACAACCACGCCCGTCTTATGTCCCAAGCTGCATTCATTCCGTACCCTGAGCCCCAGTCTGCTGTTCTAGCGCATTGATTGGGTAGAACCCAACTCTGCTTGACATTTTTGTCAACACCTGACCCCAATTATGATTTTGTTAAAGAAATGTTTTCCTTTGAAAATATTTACTTCAATTGTCCTGAAACTTTATGACCATTCCCAAGATCCTATGTTAGTACATCTGGAAAATAAGTGAATATTCTGTTAAACCAATTCATAGCCATACCCTTGGCTGCTAAAGTCATGTTCTCAAGCCAGTGTATCAATAACATGGTGTGCAATTTTACTTCACAATTTCTCTTCCTGTTTTCACAGTAATGGGAGCTAAAGTCTGGAAGAAATCAGAGCCCTTGGCACTGCACAGTGCTGCCATCGGGGAGGGTGGGGCAGTGAAGGCCTGGGGACCACAGAGGGGCCCTGTGAAGCCAAGTCTTTCCCCAGGTAAATAAGGCATCAGAAAAATATTCCCATATAGTGTATTACAGAGTACGCTCATCTATTCTATTTTATTGGACATTAATTGCACTTATTAATATATATATGTCTTTTTAAAATGAATGAATGAATGTGTATCAACTAAATAAAACATGTTAAAAAAAGAAATGAATGAAATACTCAAGGAAAAGATTGATGTGCTGTTGCAAAGAAAAAATGTGCATTTTTTAGATGAAGCAGAAATATAAGGCCAGAGTCTTACAGTCCCACTCTATTCAATCTTTCAAAATTAAAATGAATTCCCATTAATTTTGACTTTGGTATTGTTGTTTGCCATTCAAACTGAACGTCTGTGTTGGTTCTTACAAATTCAAAAATATGGAAGTCAGGAATTTGGTAGGAAACTGAATACTGCAAGCCTATTTTAAAAAGAAAAAAAAAAGGGAAAGGAAGGAAGCAACCTAAAATGTAGAATGACCAAATAAAATGCTTACAATGCAACATTTTAAGTCAAGCACTTAAAAATAGTAGTTGATAGGAAGGTCTGACCAGCATGGCTCAGTGGTTGAGTATCGACCTATGAACCTGGAGGTCACGGTTCGATTCTGGATCCCCAATGTGGGCCATGCAGGAGGCAGCCAATTGATGATTCTCTCTCATCATTGATGTTTCTATCTCCCTCTCCCTTTCTCTCTGAAATTAATAAAAATATATTTTTAAAAAAATAGTAGTTGAAATGAATAGATGCATTAGGCTATATTTGCTACAACATAAAATAAAACTTCATAACAAGATTATGAAAGTGCTTTTTATTATTTCTGTAATGTTGTCCTATTATAGGTAATTACAGATACAGAATTTTTAACTTGGTATATCGAACAGTAAAAGCTACATATTGATGCTGTGTTCCCAAAACCTATTTTAGGTACAACGATGCATTATAGTCACTATGTACAGATAAAAAGCATACATGATAAAATACAAAAATAATAAAAGGTTAAATAAGAAGTTATCCTTGAGTTATAAACATCTAATGAAGTATAGCTTTTTATTACACATTTGTTTCATACCTAAAAACACACAAATGAATATATAATGCTATGCAACTATCTGATCTAATACAGATGTAATCTGAAAATATTAAGGCTATTATAGTATTTCACAGGTAAAGGCTAAGTTCTGAGACATGAAGGCTTTTAGATAACCCACAAAACAAACCTGAGACACCTTCTTTTTGTTTTGGAAAACAAGCAATTTTCTTACAAAGTCAAAGCTTTAATATATAAATGCAGCATTTATATATTAACTATACTTTACTGCAATTACCTGGAGTAGACGTTCTGACTATAATGGTAACGAGCAAGTGCCTTTTTTCCTCTGGCAGAAATAAAATGAGGTTTTCTGATTAGCCAGTAACATGATTACTATAGCCCCCAAATTTGATTATTTTTATTTGGTTTGGGGTTTGCTTTCCTTCCTTTAACTAGGTAAGAAACATATTAAATAAACCAGCTAACCTCTAAGCATCCACCTTACTATCTTCTATATAAGCACAGTTTTCCCACTGCTGAAAGCACCACATTAACTGAGCCCACGTACATAAAAACTGCATAAAAACAGATTATTGCACATCTGGATCTGGTTTACTTAACGACGCATTCAGATTAGTCCGTGATTACTGTGCTGCCACACACCTCCCAGCATAAGTAGGATAAGGCAGCCCAAAGTCGATTTCTCAGCCCTGCTGGAGGGAGGGGGGAGGGAAGAGGGGGGAAGGAAGAAGGTAATCATATTTTGGAATTGCCAGTACCAACAAATTTTAAATGTATTGGTAAGCCTCATTTCTATAGTTGACTTTAGAGCCTTTAAAAATACTGGTACAAACAGTTTTTCATATTCAAGATGAACGGCTATGAGATTTTGTAATTAAAATTATGTGACATTTTGACTAATAAAAAATTTCAAATTACAGCTCTGGCCGGGTGGCTCAGTTGGTTGGAGCATCGTCCTGTACACCAAAAGGTTGTGAGTTTGATTCCCGGTCAGGACACATAACTAGGTTGTGGGTTCAGTCTGGTCAGGGTGCATATGGGAGGCAACCGATCGATGTTTCTCTCTCATATTGATGTTTCTCTCTTTCTCTCTCTCTCTCTCCCTTCCCCTCTCACTAAAGAAAAATCAATAAAAACATATTCTCAGGTGAGGATTAAAAAGAATTTTGAGTTACAAAATAGATCTAATATGTTGTGGATTTTTAAAGTCTACTTGAGATTTAATATAGGTACATGAAAAACATCCTTTTTCTAAATATTCATATTTCAAATTAATTAATTTGGAACGAGTGGTTTAACCATCTTTCTTCCTTTTCAGTTTTTCACTCTTTTCTCTTTCCACCCCTACACACACAACCATGATACACTCCTTCCTTTATAATTTTGATGAAAGTTAAATCTTCAAACTTCATTTTGTACTCTTACAATCTTCCATCACTTTTTTTAAGGTTTTTAGATTATTTGTATAAACTAAATGTATGCATTTTGTTCAAGCCTTATGTTTTCACAGTTACCAAAGGGACAGCTCACTGGGTTGCCCATCTTAGACAACACCATTTATCTGATCAGCTTCAGTGATACACAATGCAGTCCTCAAAACAGCCCCCCAAGACTACCTTCTGACTCTGACTTTCCAAAACACTGATAGTAATGTTATTTTTTAAAATAATTTAAAAGGAAAACTAGGTCTGTTATAATGGAAATTTTCCCTCTTCTTTCTTAATAAAGATAACATTCAGGTAATTTGTTGCATTGTTTGCTGTTCATCAGCAAACACAGGTGAAATTTCTCTGCGTTCCAATGGCTAATGGTGAGATTTCCAGTAACTTCAACTGGTTCTCAATAATTAGAATGCCTTTAAAATTAAATTAAAATTTAAGCATGCCAAGAGTTTGGGAATTATAACATATTAACTTGATCAATTTTTAAAAGAGATTCTGTATTATGAATAGAATTTAAATAAATATATTGTAAAGTAATAAGGAAGACATCTTGCAGACCCAATTTTTAGATTTTTGAGTTTTGGATGAAAGACAAGACTGCTTCAACTTGGTTTCCATGTCAAAAATAGGTAGTTGACTTAATCTAACTCATTTCATGTATTTGAGCCAGAATTAGTTGAATTGGTTATACTTTTCAATTTTCTATGACAATATAAAAGATATATGTTATACAACCTTTTCTTGACCAAAATAATATAATACTAAGAATTTAATAATAAAATAACTAATACATATTGCCTATGAATAATTATAAATGTATACATATTGAGTACTATTGGGTGATTTTTTGAAAGCTATGCTAATTATTGAACTCAGTGCATTGCAATTACATAATTTAAAGCTTAGCTGGGCTGGTAAATCTTGCTTTTTTTCGGGGGGGGGGGGTGGCAGATGTTGCTTATAATTGAAATTCTGTACTTTGGCAATCAACACAACTTGGAATGTTTTACAATTTAACAATTTACATTTTATAATTAATGATAAATCACTGAACCCATTATAATCATTAAACCAACTACTATTAATTTCCTTTTCAGCAAATGACTTTATGAATCATCCAAAAAAATACGAGAAAGCACATCAGTAGGCCAAAAGATAAATCCATCCACAGATACCAGAGCTTAACTAAGCTATTGTATTGACAAGGTGAGAAGGAACTTTCCGGTCTGAATCTTTTCCCTCTCACCCTCAATCACATGTCTTTCACTGAAATTATGTGCCTTTGCATATTCAACAATATATTCTAAAACTTTGCTCAATACGGTTTTCTACTGCTGTTCAGCACACAGAACACCCACCTGCGATCCCACCCACGAAAGCATGGCATTGGAAGTACCTCTTCATCAGGTAGTTCTGCATGTGTGCCCAAATGTGTTTTATCTCCAAAGAATGCTCTCTGGAGAAGTTATTACCAGCATTCGATGTATGTATAAAACTTCTTTGGGCCTCTTCACTCTTGGACTGAAAAGAAATCTTCCCAGAGCTCCTGCACAGCCCAGTGTGGATCTGGGCTCACTTTAGAGGTGAACTGAGAAAGTGGCACAGAGGAGCTGGAAAATTTTACTCCCCATCCCCCAAACCTTGAGTCCTTCTAAAATTCCAGCTTGCTTCTGGCTTCTCACTGGCAGTCTCCCTCGGCTTGCAACGTTTGGACAGCCCTGTCGAGGAGCTCCATGGACTCTCTGAGAGTGACGTTGATTTTAAATGACTTGGGTTTAATGGTCAGGCCGTAATTAAAATCCATTTTTGCGGGCTCGTCGGGATTGGCCTTGAAATTGCACTGGTGAGCCAGGATGGAAGTGAAGAGAAACAGCTGTGTCTTGGAAATCTCTTCCCCGATGCAGCGCCGTTTGCCCACTGAAAAAATCATCACGCTGCTGGCCAGGTCCTTGTTGATGAAGCCGTCCTGGTCCAAGAACCGGGTGGGATCGAAGTCCTCCGGGTTAGGCCACTTCACGGGGTCATGATTCACGGACCACTGGTTAACAAACACCACCGTGTCCTTGGGAATGTGGTAGCCCAAGACAGAGGCGTTGGCAGTGGTGGCGTGAGGAATGGTGATGGGCACTAAACTGGAGAAGCGCATGGCTTCATAAAGAAAGGCCATGATGTAGGGCAGTTTGGGCTGGTCATCCAGGCAGGGCAGACGGTCTCGACCCACGACTTGATCCAGTTCTGCCTGCACCCGAGCCTGCACGTCAGGGTACCTGTTTGGTTTTTAAGGCAGAGGGAGAAAACGAGTGAGGAAAACTCATTCTTCTTTCACGTAGAAAGCACATTACAATTTGTTTTAATCCCACTTTCTTTATCTGAATCAGGGACTGACCTAACTTTTCCGTGCCTCCCCCCAAAGTAATCTAAAACAATTTCTTAATTTCTCACTAAATTGCAAGATGGATAAGTGGGTAGTTACATTTCCTGTAATAGGCCTCACATGGCTAATGCTCTCTTTCCTGTCATAAGTCAAAATATGTCTAAGTTTTCTCAGCCTGAGAAAGGAGGATAACAGACAAGGCCACCTTCTCCAATAGAGGAAGCAGGCACAATGCTTAGGACTCACAATACTTTTCAGAGGCCCAAGAAATGTTTTTTTTCTTCTTCTTTTTTTTTTTTAAAATCAGAAGAGGGAAAAAATGAACTTTTCGGTCAAAGAAAATGTTTTAGCATATAATCTTAATATATTTATCTTTATACCAATATAGTCATAAAATATAATTTTATTTTTCATGGAGTAAGGTATCTACAAAGACAAAAGCACTGAAGGCCCATAAAAGTTAAAATGTAGCCCTGAAAGAAGATCTTTCCCCCCCCTAAAAAACCCTACTGTTCTCATTTGTACAAAGGTGATTGGTATGCTGATAGGTAAAGCAATATGGCTTCTAAATGTGAAAGCAAATTCCCCATGTTCATGAGATTATGGTACCAATTGTAATACGTATTCACTGTTGGTGACATAAACTAGCATAATCCTTTTGGAAAACAAAATCTTACTACAAAGCAAGGTCCAAAAGGGTAACCTCTCCCCACTCTTTGTAAACCCGGTAATCCACCTTGCAATGTATTTTCAGGAAATAACAAATACAAAAACATATAACCACAACAATGTCTGAAATTTTTAAAATGTAAACGACAACAGTAAAGCTCAAGCAATGGTTATATACAATGATTATATTACTATGGCAAAATATTATGTAACAATCAAAAATTACTAAAGTGGACATGTTAGCAATCTATCAATATGACTTTTTTTAAATTGTCAAAATAAAGTTTAAAAGATGGGGAAATAGCCATTACAATAAGAGGAAATGTCAGAAGTAAAAAAAAAAAAAATGTAAATAATCATTGCAGCCCTGAAAAAAAATATATAAGCATGTATGTGATGAAATCCAGGGTGATTTGAAAATATTGCTTTGTTAGTACTCTACTTCAGGGGTCTGCAAGCTTTTTCATTACCGGGCCAGAGAGTAAATATCTTAGGTTTTGTAGATCAAACCCTCTGTGTCCCAGTTATTCAACTCTGCCCGTGCTGTAGTATGAAAGCGGCCATAGGTAATAGGTAAATGTATTTTCTTCCTTTTGATACAACCTATATACAGAAATGGCTAGTGCAATGTGCCAACCCATCATATTGTCTTTTCACCCAAAAGAAGAAAAATGTACTTATCAGCTATATTGAATTGAAAGTGACCCCAACATTGTTTTATTTCCTTTCTCTGCCCAATCTGTTTCTGAGTGAAAAAGAAAGTCTATTTCAAAAGATAACATGTTTATCTGAGAATGGTAAAGATCTATTGATCCCCTTTTGGGATGTTTTCTTTCTGACCTACCTCCCCCCACCATGAGTTTCTGTGATCATAATACGGAGAAGCGATTTTAAATATACAAAATATTCAATTTGTGAAAGTGGCCGTACAGTATCTAAGGGTTGCAGTGTTGCAGTGGATTCTAGTAAAAAGCTGTCTTTGCCTTTCAGTATCTGAGGCACCAGAAAATTCAGCATTCCCCACAGCTAACTTGTGCCACCAAGAAATGTCACAACCAGGAGTTCTGGTCTCTCCAGGCCATCAAGATTCGCCTTGAGCCAGACATTTGCCCCTTGGGGTCGAGTTGCCAGAAAAGCTATAGGCCACCCAGTTAAATCTGAAGTGCAGATAAACAATGGCTAATCTTTTAGTATAAGTATGTCCTATGTAAAATTTATTTTTTATTTGCTAAATTTGGCACCAAGTGATACCTGGAACTTGTCTGATTCGTGCATTTACGGAGCTTGTCTGAGACCTTAATCAAGGTGGTCTCTGGGGACCAGCTAACCGACCAAGAGGGGCCCAGAGGCCAGGAGGTCCGCAGAGGCCTCCTGGGTGCCCTGATTGCCTTTCTGGATGCTGTTCTGCGCTGGGTAAAAGTGACTGCTTCTCCAGTTCTTTACCCGGAAGACACTTCTCTTACTCCTAGCGCGGCTGTTTCACAAAATCCAGCACAAACCACTGGTTCCTGACCTCCCTCCTAAAACTTCCACGTGGGCTAACCAACCCGGGGCCAAGTCTGAGGGCCTCCAGACCGGCTCCGAGGGTTCCTTTCCCTGGGAACAAAGCCGGGACGGCCGCTGGCTTTTAGCGCCAGGCCTGGGAGGCCTCGGATCTGCGCCGACTGGCGGATCAGAGGAGGCTGCTGTGTTTATTTACCGTATTGACCGC